CGTGAACACTATTACTGAGCTCACACTCTTGGTCTGCATTTGGCTAAGGCTGATGAGGCACCCCCAGGTCTCCTTTGATGCCCCCATGTCACCCCCCATCTAGGTCTTAATAACTGTCTTCCTACCTCAGTACCAGCTGTCAGAACTGCCCTAGAGAAGCAATGGGGAAGCCTACACGGGTCCCTGAGGTCTTTTCCTCAGTTCCTTGGTGGCAGCAGGGAATCACTGAGGGACAAAACGTTTCTTTGACAGACTGTATTAAAATAAAGTCCCAAACCAGCAGGCTGGCTGAGAACAGGACTCTGGTCAAGGCCACCTCTGGCTCAAAGCTCTCTCAGCACTCCCATCATTACTGGAGCCAGCTGCTCTCTAACAAGGTACAGAGAACTCTAGTCCAGGCATCCTGTTAATAAGTCCTGCTGCCAGAGAGAAATTGTTGTGGTCAAAGGCCAAGACATGGCACACTGTCATTCCAGTTCTGGATCAGAGCCTTTGCTTTCGGGGATGCTAGTTAATGATATTAAAAGGGTTCAATTCTACACAATTACACGCAGAAGGCAAAACAAACTTGTGTATGTGGCGACATGTCTCTAGCTCATTCACACCTAGAGCTGATGCTGCTCTTTGTCCTGAGCCACCCAGAGTTATCTACCCATGCCCCATGTCAGAGAGTTAGCAGGCCTGGATTTTTGGCAGGTCACAGAAAGCCCACAAAGCTCACATATGGCCGGAGAAGCTATCCATTATGCGCAAAGTTGCATTTTCATGACCCCTTTGTTTTAGTGCCTGGTAGAAATAGAGTAGTGCTCTTGGAAAAAATGGTGTTTCAAACTAACAGGTGCCCTGTTTTCTCTTCCATATGCTGCTCCTTTCTGGAGCCCTTTGGGCTGGTAGCTTTGCCTGCACGTATACACCTCCCGCTGGAAAGTGGCCTTGTTGCCTGCGGCCTTTCCTTGGGTCACACCAGCCCTGAACCTCCTCAGAAGGAAGCTGGACACTGCCTTTCAGCCCAAGGGTTGGAGAATCTCAGCTGGCATGTAGACCTACTTGTGCTGCTGGAACATTTTAGTCTGCAGCACAATACTGAGCACTGACCTTAAAGAATGGTTCTTACATGAATTTTTTAGTAGAAAACATAAATAAATAACAGCAAGGCACAGCACAGTCACTCTTTGAGGAAACCAAGTGGAACTCATTAATCATGGAGAACAGGGCTCTGCCTGCCGAACCGGGGACAGAATTAACTCCTGGGCCATAGCTGCCACGGCTCTGGTGGGCCACGATGTACAGCCAGGCACACATTCTCCACATATTAGAAGTTTTTTTTTTTTAAAAAAGAGCCCCTGGGATTAAAATTCCCTTTGGCTAACACTATCCAAAGCCTTTGCTTGCAAGCACTCTCCCCACTTTAGAGAAAGGGAGATGGTCACAGAGATGATGTGGCTTGTGCAAATGAGACAGGGGATGTCCTCCAGGATGTCCACGACTTTGTTGTCCTCTCAAATGGAGACAGGTTCATTTAAAAGGAAAACCTCAGCCATTTGAAGCATGTATTAAAATGAAAACAGGCACACCATCTGACCCAGACGTTCTATCGAAGACAAACATGTGTACAAGGAGGTGACTTCAAGGCTGTTCATTGCAGTATTGTTTATAATAGTAAAAAAAGAAAACCAGACACAGCCTGAATGCTCACCAGTAGGGGGCACTTAATAAACTACAGTACTTCAAATGAGATGGAATCCAGTACAACAGCTAAAGGGTGGGGTAACTCTGTCCATGGGTACTGATGTATCCTGCAGGCTTTGTCCAATGAAAAGAAGCAAGTTGTCCAACAAAGAGAGCAAGCGCTATGATACCCACTTATGCAGAACCAAACCAAACCCAACCAAACCAAACCACAGAATTGGACATGAACATATATGTCTGTAAAGGTATAAAAGACGGCCTAGAAATATATACTTCCAACTATCTCTCATGCTTACTTTCTCTGGGGAGGCGAGTGGGACTGGTTAACAATAAAATGGACTTCTGCTTTTTCTGTATTATTTGTACTTTTTGAGGATGTAGTGATGTATAACTTGTAAAAAAAGAAGAGAAACCAGTCAGTTACTATCCTAAAAATTCCCCCAACAACATCCTTCATGATCAGTAACCATTCTGGTTATAAGCCGCCAAAAAAAGGTGTTTCCCACTCAACACCCAGCCCTGTCACCAGCAAGTCTGTTGCTGCCTCTTCAAATGGCTATTCCTATTTCTTGATCCAATGCCTGTGGGACTTTAGTTTTTTTGAACTCTTAAAGGTCAGTGACCAAAGAAAGTCCAAGAATAATTACTTTACCCAGAAAAGAGGAGAATGATTTTGGGTTTCCTGCCTACCCACTGGCAGTGGGGCAAGAATGGTTTCTTCTGGTTTGTCTGAGGCCACTGTGCCATTCTATGCTAAATGGGGTTCTGCTCTTTGGCGATTCCCCAAACCTTACATCTCTTCAGCACTTAGGTTTGGGGCCAAACACAACTCCTCTATACAGTTAGTAAAAATGTGCTCTGGCCAAGGCCCGCGGCCTGACGCCTTCTGAGGGTGCAGGTTTCTGATTATATCTAACCTCTAGACATACTCCAGTGCGCCCGATTTATGTCAGGCTTAATTAATTCCTGCACTCTTCCTAGCTTTTAATTTATTTATAGAAGGTGATGCATCTCCCCGCTGATTGTAACGCCATCACTGGCGTTCCCCTTGCCCCTCCGTTTTCTCCAGTTGGGTTTCGTGTTTTCTTTGGGCCAGCATTGAAGTGGATGAAAGGCAGGCTACAGCCGTGAGAAGCCCAGTGATGTGCACAATTAGAGAGAGAAAACAAGCCTCACGGACAGATCTGCAGACTGGCTCAGATGAGTAGCCCACAAGGTAGACAAATTAGAACTTAAAAATGAAGCTCTTTCCATCAACAATTACCGAAAGGCCACAGTTTTTGTGCAAAACAACTGAAGAGTCAGTGTGTGGGGGGTTACAGTAAACACGAGGCACAGCAGATTGGCTGGGCTTCGGTTACTTGGGCTAGGAGGGCAGTGCCTTGCTTCAGCAGCAAGATCGCACATTTAAACCATCGTAAAGGGCCAGGTAGGAGCCCAAACAGACCACACTGGGCCTTGACATCTGGTATTTATGATCCATGGAAACACAATTTCTGTAACATTTATGCTTGAGTTCTGTCTGAACTACCACACTGATAACAGTGCTGTGTCTGACGCCTAAGATTGGAGTCCTAACAGTCTTCGCCCTTTTGGGGCAGAGAAAGTACTTCTAGAATAAGCCTTGGGGCTAGAACCAAGGCAGGAAGAGCAATGATGAAATTCTCAAAACTGGTTCCAAAAGTAGGAATGCTAACGAAGCATACACAGTGGCTAATTTAATTTCATCTGGCAAATTTGTTCCCAGGCCAGCTCAGGAAAATGTTGACTGAGCCTGGGTCTTCGCCTGAAAGATGTGCTTTTGAGATGCTTTCATTTCACCCTTTACTAATGGGAACAAATGGCTTTAAGGAGAGCCAAATGTTATTTAGATAAAATGGGTAATTATGCTTGTCATTAGAGGAACAAACAGGGCTCTCGTCATGGACAGTCTCCTCTACTCCCCTGCACAGGACAGACAGTGACATCTATGGAGCCATCTGTATAGACAGAGCTTCCTCTAAGATCTGAAAACCAGAAGCCTGTTTCCTTTTAGCGCCACTGGGAGAGGTTTTATAGCTGTAAAAACATTTTTTCCTGGACCTAGGTTTAGAGAGGGAAAAAAGGAGGACTCTGGTGGAAATTGGGCCTCTGGGATATGTCCCTTTTAAGACCTTTAATCATGGTTCTCAGAGCCCTGAGGACGGCCCCTGGTTGATGGAATGCTCCCCGAATAGGGGGTGGTGGAAAATCCGTCCACAGTCTCTTCTTGACCACATTCTAGAAACACTGAACAGCTGGGAGGTTGTAGTTCCTAGATTTTTTTTCTCTCCTAATCCCCCTATGATAGAAATATTTTATATAACTAATCACTAACAACCCAAAGAAGCAAACCAAAGAAAAATACCTGTCAACAAGACCTCATTTTTGGAGTAAGTGTCCCCAAGCCCCTCTCCTCAAAGTCTTTATGGAATGTTCTTTTCATAGACTCTTTCACCCTGGTAGTTCAGGATCACAGTAATCACATCATGATCTTCATTACTTGCTCCAAAATGAAGTCTGGAATATCTCTGAGCCTCGAACATGCTACAAGTTTCTGTTTTGTCTGTGAGAGGGCTCATAAATTGGAGATCCACCTTCCTCTGGAAGTAATAATTAGGTAGGCGAGGGCTGAGACGTTGCCTCTCTTCCAGAGGAAGTTATCTGTCTCCATAGAGCCCAGTACATGATTCGGCTTCACCGGTCCCATTCCCCTCTGGGGCTCTTTGAAAGAAGAGTCCACGCCTAGCTGGTGTGGCTCAGCAGTTGAGCATCAACCTATGAACCAGGAGGTCACGGCTTGATTCCCAGTCAGGGCACATGCCCGGGTTGCGGGCTTGAGCCCCAGTAGGGAGCGTGCAGGAGGCAGCCGATCAACGACTCTCTCATCACTGACGTTTCTCTCTCTCTCCCTCTTCCTTCCTCTCTCTGAAATCAATAAAAACATATTTAAGGGAAAAAAAAAGGAAGAGTCCAGTCTCCAGGGGTTTGCCATCAAGAGACATTTTGTGGAAATCACATCAAACAATTTAGCACTTAGCAACTTTTGCAAAATCCCACACCAATCACAAAAGTTGGCTCAGTTGCACAAATTGGATAACACTCCTGACAAGCAGCAATAAAAATAAAAGAAAGAAGAGCTGGCATTCAGCCTCAAGGAGAAAACCCACCTACCTCCCACAGAAATGCCCTGTAGCTCAGAAGACAATCTGTAAGCTTTGAAAACATCAATTTGTTCAAAGCCTACGTTTCAACTTTGTTCTCACAGGCCAAGGGGAAAAAAAACCCAGATGTTTGTATAAAAAATATTATCATTTTATTACATTCCACACAATACATTTGCAAATAGTTTCCATTGTCCACAAGTTATTTTGATACACAGGCAACTGAGCAATGCAAGAGTTGTCACAGTTATAGGGAGAGGGGGTAAGAATAGGAAGTTAAAATGTTTACATTTTCTTGTTTCGTTTTCTGTTGTTCTTTGGTAATTTTCGATTATTTAGGTGTTAGCTTGCCTGCTAGTTTTATTTTCAAGACAGGGTCTTTTTAAAGATGGGGCATCAACTTCAGAACTATCTCTGAATTTCCTATCCTATTCTGGCTTTAATCCCTAAAATGTGGGACAAGGGAAAAGACAATTTTACTTTATTTTAAGCATTCTGTTTTGTTAATGGCAATGATATGATCTTTTTTCCCCCGCCTTTGCCAGCAATTAGGGGATAGCAATTGCCAGCACAATGTCAAGGACGGGATTTTCACCCAGAGATAGGGGTTTCCTTCCTTCCTGGGTCTGCTGATATGAAACCTCTACTAAGGCAAAAACTTTAGTAGCCCGAGCTAGACCTTCAATCCATTCATTCATTTATATTTTATTAGTTGCTATTACCTCTTTGTCTTCCGAGAAGCAACTCTAAACACATGCACACATGCAGTCACCTGTGCAGCCTATTTTCCTTAGAAGAGAGTGACCCTTCCCTCCCTTTATGAAATGCAGAATTTTGCGTTTTAAAACCGCAAGACGTGGTTTTATAGAAGAGCTGCCCTTTTAGCAGAGACCTAGATAATATTATGAACGGTGCTGGGGCCAAGAGAGAAGAGAGAGGAGAGAGGAGAGAGGGAATGACATCCCCAGTTGAAGTGCATCACGGGCTTTACAAAGATTTGAGCGGTCTCGTATTCTCAGCTATGGCATGTATATAAAGATGATGCCACACGGGGCATCGGATAAAGATACAGCAAATTCACAAAGTTGTTGTCATCTTCTTTTAAAGAAGGGAAGTCTTCAAGGGCATATGGTAACTCAGTTGCTACACTGGCTGGATTTTCCAGATCTAATTTCCCGACTCCACGCCTCCAGGGGGCGCCTCCAGGGATGCTAATCATTTCGAGGGAATGCCTGGCCCCAGATGCATGTCTGGATGTGGACACCTGAGATAAAAGCCCTTAGCGACTGGCATGGAAGTCATCACATGGTACCCCGGGCTCCTGCCCCTCCTCCCTCTGCCTGCTTCTCTTTGCAACCTTCAGCTGGGCTAGGATTCTTCTTGAAATCTCAAGGTGGCTCATGCTCTAGCCTTTCATCTTTTCTTTTCTTGGCAGGGCTGCTGTGGTTGAGAGAGTGGCTCTTTGAAATAGAGTAAGAGTGGGAGAGCACCATTCTTTCAGGGGGATGAAACAAACCAGATGCGAAAGTGAGTGCGTGTGCTAGAGGGAGTGCTGTGGATATTCTGAAGGAACGCTCAAAGTCTCTCTCTCCCCCAAGCAGCCAAAAACATAAAAATAAAAAACTCAATCATTAGTATTTTGCTCTCAGAAGGTACCTGGAAGCTTTCAGCCCAGGCAACCATCTTTGGATCTTTGGAGAGAATCTTAGACTCTCCCAGTGGATTCCTAGTAGGAAGGTGAGAAATAAACACCCCCGAGGCGGAGCCCCAGGACACTGAGCATCTCGTTAAAATACAAAGTTTCTATCAATGACATTGACTTCATTATTGAATCTCTCCTTTGTACAATATCATTAGGCCATTTATTTCCAACCTCCCTTTCCCTGTGTCGCTTAGAGAGGACAAACGGGCAGCCACGGATTTATCTTCACTATACCTTCTCCTGACGATGTGGCAACACCTGGAAGTGCCACGCCAGCCTACGAGGGTGTACTTGCCAGATGCTACAGATGCTTTAAGGGGAAGCACATTGGTACATTTTAAAAAATGGTTACTCTTTATTCTCTCATAATATTCAAATAAGTCAGGTGGACAGCCTTACATTTTAGCAGCTGTAGTTTCAGGCACACATCAACACCATGAAAGGAAAGCGAAGGACCCCTTCTCTCCATATTTTACAAATGCTATTACAATGACCAATATAATACCAAGGAATACGACTCGTAACCGTCTCACTCAGCTCCCTTTAAAGCTGGGCCCAATGATTCCCCTCGGGCGAGGAGTCCTTTCCTTCTCCTGCCTTCTCTCCCCCGCCTCCTCCTGCTCTCAGCTTAAACAAGCTGCTGCTTCTCTGCATCAGTCTCAGTTCCATCATTCTCTATGACTTATTCCAGGATTGGACTTAACTGACAAAAGCTAAACATTCATTATGAGCTTCTCTTTTATAAGGCAACATGAGACAGATTTGCTTCAGGGCTGGAAGTAGAGATGGTTCCACTCGCACCCAATGGCTGTTATCTGTTACTTCAAAGAAGCCAGGAGACGTGACATGGGGTCACGTCCGAGTGCACGGGAACCTTCCTCTTGGGTCAGGTGGGTGGGGAATGGGCGAGGGATGGGAGGGGCCACATTTCGGTCCATGCGGCCTCTAGGTTTTTAGGTACCTGGAGATGACAATGGTAGCCAACAGAAAGCCAGCCAGAGCTAGATAAGGCAACAAAAAGCTTCAATCTCTTCTCCAAGTAAACAAAACTAGTACAGTATATTATTTTCTTGTAAAATGTACCCCCGGAGAAGTAACACAATAGCTAAAGGGGGCCCTCTCTGAACACACCCACACACTCCCCTCTGACAATGAACCAGTCTCTCTCACACCCACACCCACACCGAGCTACTCTCACACGCCAAATGTATACTATGTACAAACACAGATCCAGGGTCCCCCCCCAGTCTCCTGGCAGACTGCCCGCCGAGAGGGGGTGTGGGATAAGGCAAGGGGAGGGCCAGGGAACCAGTCTCTGGAAGAAAGCCAGCTGGGCCTTGAGCTGTGAAGTGTTTAGGGTGTCTCTCTTCTCATAGTCCAAGATGCAACATTAGAGTTGGGGTTGGTTGGTTGGTTGGTTGGAATCAACAAAAGGGAAAAAAAAAAACCAACTCAAGAGAAATGGTCAGGATGGATAGGAGTGCACAGGGTTTGGGCCCCAAGAGAGAGATGTCTGAGTCACACAGAGACTAGGCGAGGAGAAAAAAGTGCAAAATCGAGGCAACGTGTTTGCAGTCTTTCTCGTTTTTGGGTGTTGTCCTTGCTTCGGCCCTCAGCAGTGCGAGCTGCGGTCTTGCTCTAGCTTAATGGTTAGGGTGGGCTCCACCGCCAGAGGGGCCCCGTTGGTGTAGTGGGAGGTTTTGTAGGTGATGGAGTGATCGGTCTTCTTGGCCGCATAGCGGAACCGGTGGTAGTGGAGCACCAGGGCCAGCGCGACGGAGACCAGCACCAGCAGGGCGCCCCCGGCGGCCATTACGTAATACCAGTAGGCTGGGATGGGCTGAACGGGCACCGTGTCCACTGTGGGCTCGGTCCCTGGTAGGAGGGTGCCCCCTGGTGGAGAGACACAGAAGAGTGTTGCTAGGCGGAGAGCATGCAGACTAATCAAAAATCAATTAAAAAAAAAAGGAAACACACATGCTTTGGAGTGGATAGGGAAGGGGACAGGGGAATAAGGCGACACTGAGTATTTAGCTCGTGACAAGCACGTCTATTCACAACCTTCAAGGCAGGTACTATCAGACCCATTTTACAGCTGAGGAAATAGAGGCTCAGAGGTTAAACCAACAGTGGTTATGCAGTAAGTAGGTAGTAAGTATGGGATTCAACCAAGAGCTGTATGATTAGAGAGCTCTTTTCTTCTTTCTGTTACACCACAATTACTCTATAATGCACAGAAGCAGTATAATTCATACATATGCATGCGCACGCATGCGCGCGTACACACACACACACACACACACACACACACACACGAGTACATGATGTTGAAATGACTTCTGGGATTCCATAAGGCTGATTCCCCGAATGGGTGGAAATACAGTATTTGGTCTGGCTGGCCAGCATTTTCAAGCAATGTATTAATTAGGCTGGCTAGACTTGAAGGTAAATTCCACGTTGGATTGCCAAGGCTTCCATGCCCATTGAAATCAGCCTGGTCTTGTCTAAACAGGTCAATTACCACTGTCAAGCAATGACTAACGATTCGTGTTCTTTTTTTAATTGTATAGAGGTTTTAAAAATCTGATTGGAAGGATGTTGCAACAAAAAATGTGGGCACGAAATGATAGTGGGTGTGTGAGAGCGAGAGTGAGTGTGAGCAAAGGGAGGGAGATCGTTCTTAATCATGGAAAAGACAGAGGAGGGAAGAGAAGCTAGCGAGGATTTAGGAGGCAACCACATTTGCTGGCCGGCCTCTGGTTGCCATGGAGATGATGTAGTAGATTTAAGCTCAGGGTAACTCCGGGGAAAGACTGGCTGGAGTCCCACTTGATGCAAAACAGTACTACAACTTGATTCTCCCAACGATTTACATCAGATGAGAATCTGGCCCGGAATGGGACTAGGAGCTTTTGAGCTTGCCAAAACCAGACATGATCTTTACTTCTGAAAAATGATGTATGCTTAACCTATGAAAATTCCTCCCTAGCTGCTTACATCAAGTGCCGGTGGCTAGAAGGATGTATCTTCTCTATCCATGGGCTAGCCAGTGGGGGGCCATGGCCGTGTGGCTGCCTTCTCCATACATCGCTGGTCCTACTCTGTGGGTGTATCTCTGCTCAGATGCAGACAGAGCTTATGTATATCTTCAGGCCTCCCCCGTGAGACATGGAGCTCCTCAAGCAGGAGAACACGCTCTCATCTTGGTTTCTACCCCCCCGGCATGCACAGAGGAGGCACTCAATAAATGCCTGAACTGAGGCAATGACTTCTATTTCTGAGTCAGTGTCCGCCCACTCCTGCAGCCCAAACACCAGAACTCCCCTCTCTGAGTGGGGGATCATGCTGTCTTCTCAGAAGTGGCAGAAAAACGAGAGCATTTTTTTCCTGGAAAATCTTTCAGAGCCTGCCTACCTTCTCAGATCTTAATCATTGCTTCCTCTGGTTTTAGGGATCCCTTCTGCAAAGGTGCAGGGCTCGTTGGTGCCTCTTAAGCCATCAGAAGTGCCACAGTATTAGAGCTTCGACAAGGACGCGTCACACAGTACATGCCCTGGCAGCCACATCCACAGCCCCTGGGGTGGAAAGGATCCCAGAATCCCAGGGTCCCCTTCCTGCCCCTGCCTACATGACATCTTCATCACCTAGTCTGTTTTTCTTGATTCCCAAGCCATTGCTGTCTTTTCATAATTTCATTACTGTAGCTGAGAAATTACCCCTCCCCCCCCAACTATATTAAAAATTATGTGTAGAAACAGAGAAAAGGAAAGCAAGGCGCTGGAAACAGCTCCTTGAAATGGGCAGCTTTCGAGTCACAGCGAACTGGTGTCAACTCATTATTCAGGTCACCAGAGTATCTGCTGCCTGGCAACCATCCTGCTGCTGATTTTCATGTGGGCTCAGAAGAATGCACGAGAAACAACAAAGTGCACAGGGACGGCCCCAAGTTCCTCACTGCCGAACCCCTCCCCTAAAGGGCGTCCTTGGGCTTGCCTCTGATTTTGATTTCGCTGCACAGTGAGGGCTGTCCTTTAACGAGCTGCAGCTCACCCATGAGAGGAAAGGAAGGCGACAAATCTGCAGGGATTAGCTCCCCACCCGAAGCACCTGACCAGACCCCAAGGGCAGGAGCACACATTTTTGCCAAGCGGAAAACAGCCACAACTGCCCGCGTTCCCTCCATCACCACCTAGTCTCAGTTCAAAGCTCTGCTTTCCGTCGGCCAAGACCCTGGTTTTCAACATTAAATACACCACCCAGGGCTCCTAGTGCCGGGGCTGAGGAAGGATGTGGCCTTCATGCTACTCCTGAAGTGTTTCTTACGATAGAGAAAGTGGGGGCACAGTGGGGAGGACCGAGGGGGCCGGCTGGAGGAAGGTAATTACAATACGTGGATTGCCCAGTCAGAATCAGGGCTGGACCCTGGCCTCAGAGTTCTGCTCTGCTTCAGAAGACAAACTCCACTTTGGGTATAAGACCCTCTTCCTTTTTGTGAGCAATACTCCCCTCCCCGGAAATTATCAACATGTAGAAAATCTTGGTGACCAAAGCCATTTGGGGGACATTAGATTGGCTCCTTAACATTTTCCTTAAACATTGGTTTGGAGAAATGAGGAAACATACTACCTGAATTGGTGCTTTTAATGTTAAGGGAGTTAGAGAAGAGAGGATACCCTCCCCTCATCTCCTACAAGCAATTTTTGGGAGACCTGCAACTGGGGGCCAGAGTTTCTCAGAACGTTCTCCAGCTAAAGAGACTCAACTCCCACAGGCAGGCGGGTTTGGAATCTGGCTCTCTGGCAGCCTTCAAGGGCTCTATGCCGATGAGGCTGTGGTTTGCCAGAAATGGAAGGTAATAGATCAATTGGGGTTAAGTCCCTTTCTAAAGCACCTTCCCAGACAACAGTGGCAATCCAACAAATACCAGATGGATGGATGGATGAGTGGAAGAATGTACTTTGGGCCAAAATTCAGATTCCCTGGAAAATGGTAATGACCCACTGGCACTTAACAGTTATTCTTGGGAAGTGCTAGAGATTTTGCTGGCTCACACGGTGCCGCTATGTAAAACTGCAAAAAAGGTGCCCCCTTTGGGCAGATTCCACTTGCGCCAGGTGCCTAGGCTGGTGAGTGGCTGCATTTTTGCCCTACTTGCACCTTTAGCCACATAAGGTGTCTGGGCTGTTGCTTTAAAATAAAGGAGACTGGGCCTGGTCCCCAACATGGAGAAAGCGTAGGTAACACTTCAACCTTGAGAGCTGGTCAGGTGCTGACCTGAACCCTCCTTCTGGTTGCTCCAACTTCTACCACTAACTCACATACCTCCATTTTTTCCAATTGGAAAATCAACTCCTGAACTATTTTTTTATTAATTTCCACCCCCCAGTCCTCCACAGAGTATTCTCCTTGTGTGAGATAATGGGAAACATATTTTAAAAGAGTCAGTAACTGCGAGTGTATTTGCAAGGCTGAACAGGCCCTCATCGGTAAAGGCTCCGAGCCCTCAGGATAGGGGGCAACGTGAAAGCACAGGATTTGAATTTGGAAAAACAATAAATGTGAAGAAGTCATGCATAGGGGGAAAGTGAGGAGAAAGACTACACCGTGGGTAGTGTTCCTTCCATTCCTACTGTGCAAACAGGGCTCCTGGATTAATATGCAGTTGGGAAATGTGGTCAGAACGGCAGTAACAATGAGTGGGCGTTTCCCGTGTGGTGGGCACTGAGCTACCAGCATCACGAGAATTATCCTGCTGACTTCTCATGACTCTCAGATGGGACCTGAGCACTTGAGGGCGTAAGTGATTTTCTCCTGGCTTTACCTGGAGGAGAATCGAGGAGGAGGGCAGAGCAACAACACACAGTGGAACCCTAGAGATGGCCCAGGGCCCTCAGAAGTTCCCGCCACCATTAAGGGGCAGGGGCAGGACCAGAAGCGCATTCTGGTTAAACCCGGCCCAGCCCTACGCTGTCCATTTAGAACACAGCCTCCCTCCTTCGTTCACATGCTGCTTCTGGCTCTTTGTGCTTCAGTGGCAGAGCTGAGAACTCGCGATGGTCTCATAAAGCCCGACACAGGGAAAGTGTGCAGACCCCTGGCCTTGGACAGGAACCTCCCCGTCCCCTTCTGCCGCCTGCCTCTGTCCGAACCTGTCTGAGGACCATCCCAGTCAAGCCAGGTTCTCGCTCAATCACAGCTAAGCTTACGACACGTCCTCCGGACCTGGGGAGTCACCCACCCAGGCTCCTAAAGTAATGTTTTGAAAGACAACAACGGTGAGTCTTCTCTCTCTCAAAAGGGGAACAAAAAGAAAGGCTCGATGCAAGTAAGAACCGTTTCAGGCCTGGCCTGTCTGTGGTGTCCTTTGCATATAGGTTGAAAATAAAGTGTCGGTGAAGGGGCATTTCAGATAAAAGGCTTATTTAATTTGGGAGATTAAACAAGCCAAAAAAAAAAAAAAGGTTGGCTGCTCTAGAAAAGTTTACAGAAGATAGTAGAAGAATGTGGTCTGTTTGGAAAAAGAATGTAAAAGTATGAAGTATCCTTGAGAAATGATTCTCGATTTGCCCCACGAGCAGTATGTGGAGGGTCAGAGGAAGGTTTGCGCTGAGCTCGCAGAAACCATGCGGACCTCCACCCCCACCTCAACCCACCCCCATCTATCGAAAATGATTCGCTTTTCTTTGTTTGTTTTTTACATAAAACATGGACTTATGTAAAGAGAACCTTTTCTGTTGGTGTTCTAATTTTGTTAAAAGATTTCAAATCCCGTGGATTCCATGCTGAATGGGTGAAAGAAGACCAAAAAAAAACCCTGCAAAATTTGTATAAAGGTATAAAGTGCTAAAAAATATTTTTCTGTTTCCTCCCCTTTTTTTTTAAAAAAAAAAATCGGAATTGTGCCTTGTACTATAGTTGTTTGAATAAAAGTTTTATTTATTGCATCCAAAAAAAAAAAAAAATACAATGCCTCTAAATTCAGATCTGTGGTTGGTTGGCTGAAGTCTCGGACACTTCTTATCTCTCCTGTGGCACTTGTGTAACTGTCTTTAAACTAAGGCTTGTCCTTTCTGTTCTTGGAGAGAGGAAAAGTCCGAGAAAGAAATGTTCTCCTCCCCTTACAGAGACTGCTGCTGGCGGCTGTTTAGATGAAGGTAAACCTGCTGGGAGGGGATGCGCCAGCCTCTGCGACAGGAGAGGCGACGCGCACCAGCGAGCCTCACAGAGGATGCCTCAGTGTCCCCTTGGGCGAGCGGCGGCAGCCAGGCAGTTACCCGCTTACACACATCTGATCTCCAGGCTTCCTTGCTCAGCAACACCTAGGCTGCATCTGGCAGCTGGAGACGGACGGGGAGGGGCAAGGGGGACTCAGCACAGCTGCCTAGCCGAACCCTGGCAGGGTCTAGGAATACTTCTCTGCCTTTCATCAGAGGATTACGTGCACGAACACCATTTAACCCTCCCTGCGTCTCAGAAGGGCTTCTCGCAGATGGAGCTGTGGGGGAGAGGAAGCCAAGGAGAGTGGGAACGTGAGGCCAGCCCCAGGCCCTGTGCCCTGGGATGGGGGCCGTGGCACTGGCGGGCAAGCCCTCTGGGAGGCAGCCAACAGGGAATGAGGGCGGGGATGGGAAGGGAGAGATGGGCCAGTTGGCACCAATTAAACAGAACTTAAGACCTGATGCACAGTCGAACCCCTGCCAGCTCTGTCATTACCCCAAAAGGGCTCTCTCTTGACTGCTCCCCTCCATGCCCACGAAAATGTCTTAGATGTTCACGCTCTCCTGGTCTTACCTGGAGGAAGACTGTGGAGGACTGCAGAATGTGAAACCCAAGAGATGGCCTATGACCTTCAGACCTGGTCTGAGACTTAAGAGCACATTCACAGTCATTACTGACGTCCCTTTACATCCATCAGGGGTAGACAATTCTTCACTCCAACAGCCACCTTTCACAAGCGCACCCAGCCTGGGGTTTCCATGGGTCTCTAGTGGGGAGGGGCCCAGACCCAGGCTCCCTGCCCTTGCTCTGCTCAAAGCCCACAGCCTCTAACATGAACAAGAACTGCTCCCACCAAGAGCTGCTGAAAACCACCACCTGGACAACCACCACAGAACCCTGATTACGGGCTTTATGTATTTTTACTGGCTTCTTGATTACCCTTTTTTCTTTTATTGAAAAAAGAAAGTATTGGTTAAGAGGAAACAATCCATCACCTTAATTACACCACTTTTCGTTTTTTTCTTTTTTTTTCCTTCTTTACACACAGTTTTTCATTTGTTGGAGCTCAAGTTCTAGAAAAAGACACATGACGGAGCTATGTTTATAGCCAGTGCTTAAAAACAGAAAGAGAAAAGAAAAAACGCACACCCCGGCTACATTGTTTAAAACATGACTCATAACAACAAGAAAAAAGTCTTTTCAGAAATCACGCGACAGCTCAGCTTATTCATGCCCTCTTCCCGGTGTCCCTGTTCTGCACGGTTCTCTTTCTCTCCACGGCTCGTCTCTCTCTTCATTCCTGACTCACACCCTGCCGTACAATCATAGGTACATGCTAAGCAGAAAACACAAGGTGATTGATAGAAAACGAACACGTTTCATGGCAAGAAGCGAGTGAGAGGCAGAAAATGAAACAGACTTCAAAATATAAAAGAGCAAGACTGTCTGATAAGCCCAGGTTCAGAGGCCACTTTTATTGCGTTTCCTTCAAGGCGCACCTAGTGCACACTGGTCTCGCCTAAAGAATGAGAGTGCTGCTGTCTCATGGTTAATTTAGAATCAAAAAGAAAAACCACCTCAAATTTGAAAAACACACAAACAATGTAAACGCCTGTTGTTAGTAGTGTTTTACCATTCACTTTCCATATCCTGCCTGCCCAAACCTGATTTCTCTCTCTGAGTGAAAAGGCCGATTTAATCCCGAGGCCCCCGTGGCCCCGCCAAGAGCTTTGCCTCTGCCCAGCCAGGAGAGGAGCGGCATGCCAGTTGCCAGGTGAGACACAGCAAATGGTCCTCTTTCCTCTCCCGATGGAAAGCTTTGCTTGAATCAAAACAGAGCTGTATACTGAGGTCCAATGGGCCTCAGCCCAAAAGTAGCCTCTGGCCCTGGATTCACTTGGCTACCAATTTGGAGATCCATGTCGAACTCATCAATGTGGCTGAAACTGTCCAAAGATGCTCTTTATCTCCCAGGACAACAGCCGTGGGCCAACCCATGCCCCCGTGCTCGGCCTTTGCTTAATCCCTAAACCAGCCAGTCCGGAGCACTGGAAATTCTTACCTTCAAGTCACTAAGATCTGTGTTTATTTTGGCTAAATGAGCACCACGGCTCTGCTGATATTTTATTTATATATTTTTTACAAGGGAACATGACTGGACTGTGAAGCTGCATGGTAAACACAGCCTCAAGGAGAGCACATGTGCCCAGTTTGTTTATTCTACAGAAGCCGAGCGCTCAGCCACCGGGCCTGTCAGTCAGGGACCCAGGCATGCGTACGCACACAGAGCAGTGTCTGCGGTGGTGGCTGGAAGCCTCCGACCAGCCTGCCCGGGAGCTTCAAGTCTCAACAACCCATGAGTCCGGTGAAACAATAGGAGCGGGTTCCCCTTCCCCAACATCAGTGTTACCTTGGGTCCTGAAGGTTAGAACTTGAATTCAACTGTAATCCAAGTCATTCAGTTTAGACCTCAGCTTTCCTCCCCATACTTAGATTCGCATGAACAGAAATCTCATATCCCAGAAACACCAACACAGGCACATGAAGACCCTTAATACTTCAAAATGTGCGATGGGGACTAGGGAAGGGGTTCGGGGGAGCAACGAAGGTGAGAAAGAAAGAAAAGATAATCTGTGTGGGTCTGTCACTCTCTGTTCGGCCACTTTCTTCCCCACTGTCTTAAGGCCGTGGGTTGATGAGTGGCAAATTAGGCAAGATGATTTTGAGTCAGACAGTGCATCTAGGTGACAAACGGGAAATTCATCTCTTTCCAGCCAGGAGCTGGACAGATTAATGAGAGTGAAGATAATGAGTCTAGACTCAGATATAAAACTGACTTTCTTATCTCCAAAATGCTGTCACCTACGGGGTGAAGGCCAGCCAGCTCAAACAGGGCCCAGCGACCCTCGCAACTGATTGCGTAAAGTAGGTCATGAAAAACCCGTCCCGGTCCCGGGTGAGGGTGAGTGTCTCCGAGTGCGCTTCTACACCAGGCCAACCGAAGTGAGGCATTTCGAGTGGCTTCTAAACACTTAGCATTGGGACCCAGGTGGACACTTCAGCAGTGCCAACTCATTGGATTGCACAGAGGGTAAATGTGAAACCCACTGCATTATAGAAGCACAGGTAACCATCCCCCAGCTTGGAGGCCCTTTCCCCCCTGGATGAGGCAAGCGCCCCAAATTATTCTCTTTCTGATCTGTTCTTTATTTACTTTATTAGGGAGAAAATGTCCTTTTCTGTTTTTCAGTCCTCTGCTTAAAGTGCTCTAATTCCAGGCACCACATGTGTCTTTTTCGTCCCTGTATTAGACACCAGCCCCTGAATCCTGCAGCGTTTCCTCTTTAGGATGATCACTGTGTCCTGCCCCTAACTTTCTTCCCTCACAACACTGCCTGCGCCACTGCATCTCACCGAAGGTTAATTGAAACTGCTGCCTTGGTACCCTGGAATTGGAACTGGAAAGAAACCGTCTTCAGGCTAAAATAAATCATTGCCACCTCATTTCACTTTTAATTTACTACTGATTTTTTGTTGTTGTTCAGTCTCCCCACAGCTTCTCCTTTCTCACCACTCATGCATTTTCAGCCTCATTGCTCCCCGTTGGACAATGCAAAGCTGAAAGGTTTATCTGTAACCTATTTGTCTCTATTATAGGTTTCTAAACTTTAATTAAACAAGAGACAGTGAGGATCTCAATCCTGTTTCCCCTGCTCCTACAGGTGTTGTTGGTGCCATCTAGTGGCGGGAAGGTGTGGCATGTTTTCTCTTGTGAGATTTGCTAAATCTGGAGGTTTATCCCCTCCATCAAATTCACATCATATGAGGGGAAGGAAAAGGCATGCAAAAAGAATTGTTTTTTACCTTTAAAATTCTCACCTGCAAAAGCTGAGATGGGTTCTGGAAAAAAAAGAAAGAAAATATTTTGAGTTAGATAAGGAATCTGGCAAACATAGGGCACTACAAAGATGACTTCCAGTTTTTTTTACAGTACCCCTCGGAAAGTGTCCCATGTCCTCCACATGCTCTAGACTGTGTCTAACACACCATCATCATGGGGGCTGGGTGGGCGGGGAGAGATTCTCAAAGTTGCTTTGGAACAAAAAGTCCTTCATAGAGTAATGGGTCCCAGAAGCATTGTAATCAGTCACTTACCACTGATTACTTTCTCAGAGTCTGGATTACTGTTAGATGCCCGGGGCCTGAGAGCTGCCTGAAGGGACTGGGGCAGTCCCAGGTGCTTCTGACATCACCAGGCGCACACACACACCCAGGACCATGTGCCAAGAAAAGCACTCGGTGAGTTATTACAGTCACTCTGCCGACTGAAAGCAGGTTCCAGTCCTTCTCAGGATTCCCTCTTGCTTTTAGGAATGTCTGTGGCTCTGATGGAAGATGATCGGGGTGTCCCTGGGGTGAGTTGGGTAGAATGTGTATGTAAGGTGGCTGCCTGCTCTGCACTTCTGTCCAAGGGAACACCGGTCACCTGGTGTGGCGTGTTTAATCTGACAATAATTCTGGGATTGCTTCAAAGCAAAATCTAAAATGTTACTTCAGATGCCATAATGCCCTGCAATTCATTCATGCAAAAGAACTACTTGGGTAATTATGTGATTGCTCTGATGTAACATATGTACTATTTTTGCTCCCCAGCAAAGGCTTCCATTAGATCCATCAAACCTTTCCAGCATGTAATTCTGAGTGGCAGTTGTTCTTGTCCTCTAGCATTTTTTTTTTTGCTAAAAGCTGGAGTCTGATGATGGGGTCTCAGCACCCTGAATCTCCATATACTTCGTGCATGTCTATTTCTGAATGGGAACAGGGGCTGTAAGGCTTTCCCTATCTGACACCTCTCCCATCCTGAATGCAGCCTAAGACACAGCTACGCTCACACCTCACCTGCTGCAGACTCTCGCCGCCTTACCCGCTGGGTAGCAGCTGTGTCTGAGCGTGGTATATTGCCGTCTCTTGTACATCCCAGCCCACCGTGTCTCATTTGGAAGAGCCACAGAGAGACAGATATTCACGTACCCATACAGTTCTCCAGTGGGACATCAGTGCTTATCCGAATGTCATCAATGGCGATTTCTCCTGAACGCCCTTTTCCTATAACTCCCTCGAACACGATCTAGAAGCGAGATGAACAAGAGCCATCGTTAGCTGAGCCTCTTGGTCCAAACAGTGTAAGGAGTCCTGATTTTCTGTTAACTGCAGCTTCAAGTGTGTGTGTGTGTGTGTTACTGATCCAGGTACACATCTGTTGACCACATGGCTACAGTGCTTGAAATCCTAATTTAAAAAGAGTTGGTTCAAATCAAATGCGTATTTGAAGGGATTAAAAATATATATTACAAGGTGATGGATGCGGTTGTCTAGTAACTCGAATATGTGGAGTAAAAGGAACACATTCAGAGTACGTTTAAAGAAGGGTTAAAATTTCCCTAGCATTTTTGAGGTTCATTTCTCATAAATCTTTCAAATGCCCAATCCAGGTATTTGGAAGCTCAGGAGACATGAGCAGGCGGGGATAAGGTGAGAAATATAGTATGCAAGTTTAGATTGCCTTGGGGGTAACACTGTCTTATGGCTCCATTGTTACAACTAGGAGGGAAATTATTTGTTCCTTCACCAGTAGTTTGATGAACACCTACTATGTGCCAGGCACAAGGCCAGCTACAAAACCTAATAGATAAGACCCTTTGACAATCTCACCATCCAGTGGGTGAGACAAAAATGCAAACAGATACTTAACAATGCACTGCATTAAAGGTTTATAAGCGGGGATGTGAGTGGGGGTGGGGAGGAACTCGACACCATACGACCTCGAGAGGGACTGCAGACTGCACACAGAAGCCCCTCTTCTCCCTGGTCTCCAGCCACTCCTCATTCTCGCCCTCCCCAGGTTCTCTCTGCAAACTAGCACATGTCCTCTGGCAAGCTAAGCGAGCAGTTGGCTGCCTCTCCAGCCATCTGTTGCTGCTTCTCGTCTGGGGAGGAGCAGGTTAATGCTTTGGCTGGTTCTTAGTCACCTCTTCCACAGTGTGTCTACTCTACCGAGTTTCAGCCCACAGCTGCGCATACCCATCTGTGCCTCAGTCTCTAGCTCTGTGGGGCAGAGATAATAGAACTCAACTCCTGGAGCCACGGGGAGAGAAACTGCTCATTCAGAGATGGGTCTCTCTGGTCCGCTGGCCACTAAGCACACACAGCAGCCCTCCCCTGCCTGTGTTCACACCCCAGCTGGGACAGGTCTGGGAGGCTGTGCTCCTCCATCCCCACCCTGGAGTCTGAGGGACTCCACAGGCCTCTTCCCTGTGTGCGGAGGGTCTGTTTGTGTTTATTTCCCTGGCTTCTGGGTCCCTGTGTCAGCCTACCTGATAGGGATCTAAAATAAAATGGAGAGAAGAAACATTTGCTGGAGATTTCAGCAATAGAAAAGGCAATAGGAGGAACAAAGAACCAAGTCTGGGTGTAGAGATAGGCACATTCTGAATAACAAATAAGAGTGTCATTTAGTTGCCATGGCAACGTGAGAAACACAGGGAAAACACCAGCGCTTAACCACGCTCCCTAATGATGAATGGGCACCCTCGGCCCTTTGAAATACTGCAACACAGATCACCAGGCCCCCCGTCGCCGTCCCACCTGGTACTCCATGTCGTAGCTGGGCAAGATGATCCGCCCGTGCTTCCACTCGCTGCCCTGGTCCTCGCGGATGACCCAGAGGAGCTTGCTCTCCTGGCTGGCTTCGCGCACCACCTGCAGCGCCAGGCCGCGGCCGCCCGTGGCCTGGTACTGGAACTCCATGCACACCGGGCTGCGCGGCAGGTGCAGCGGCGGGCTGATGAGCCGCGCGTACTGGCCCTCTCTCCGGCCATCGCTCTGCAGCCGCAAGAAATTCCTGTCATCTGGGGGAAACAAGCCAAACAGAGGTTCCCGGTGAACGCCTGGGAAAGACACCGCTTTGCAGCTGTTGCTCCTCCAGGGAAAAGCTGGGGTCAGAGTTTGGGTGACTTGTTTTTTCACGTCCTGGCTCTCCAGGCCCTGCGCCCTTTTCTTAAAGCTCCTTCAGAGCCTGGATCCAAATGCTGCGTCCTCTTGAAGCCCTTTGAGTCTTTCCATCAGGTCGGTCCCTCCTGCCCATCCCTCGGCATCACTTTCTCTGAGCCTCTTTTACATATGGCACCCGGCGCGGCTGGCCTTATGTCTCGGCTGGTTGTGACTCTCCTTGTGTTCTCTCCCTAGAGTCTAAGAGGCCAGACTCGCATCTTGTTCACCGTTGGCTTACCCAAGGGACCAATGCAGTCAATGAACTGAATTATAGGGGGTGAGGTGGCTGTGAGACTAGAGGATGATTCTGCCAGGTGGTTTATGCTTCAAGCCTTTGTCATCTTGGCTGGGCACTGTCCCAATGGAAGACATTTAAAACCTTCTGTCTCCACCAGCGTTACTAGATGGTGCCTGGGCGACCGTAAATCAGAAGCTTAGTGTCAGCTTCGAGAGAACAGGGGGGTGAGAGCCGAGTAGGGGTGATTCACAGGCTCCCCTCCCTTCCCTGCCCAGCCCAGCCTGGGGAGGCCTGAACTTGGCCTTTCTCAGACAGCCGGGCAAACACAGCTCCAGTGAAAACAGGCGCTGTCATCATCACTAACAAAGGCTATGCATTTGGTAGAGAATACACACATGCTGGAAAATTAAGGTTTCACACGTCCAAATGTTCAGAGAATGGGCCTTTTAGCTGATTAGTTTTCAAATACATCCGACACTATGTGAAAAATGGAGCTCCTCTTCCTCTTTGCAGACCTCAGGCCCTGCAGACACAGGTGTGGGGGCCTGCACCTGCAAATCCAACTTGGCAGGAGTGTTCTGGCCACTTGTACAGAGAAGAAGGTGCCATCTGAAGAGAAAACCTCACTGCCTCCTTGTTGGCCCTGAAACCTCTCACGCTGAACACTTCTGTGAGACGGCAGGGACACTTTTGCACCTCACATCCAGCACACCAGACACCTCAGGGTCATGCTAATCAGAGACATGTGCACAGAGCTTTCTTACTCAGCAGGGTCTGTGAACACCCTGGGCTTGTCGGGGAGGACAGGCGAGGATTTCAGAGCTCCGAAAGCACTGGTTTGCTGTTGTTACTCCTGCTGACATCATCTTTCTATTGAGAGCTGAACCTGTGACAGTCCTTCCTCCCATCAGTGGCCCAGAAACAGATCCTACCCCTCTCCTCCCAGCCACCTCTCTCCTCTCCTGTGGCTTCCCTGAGCCCCTTCTGGTCACAGTCTCTGGATTATTGCTCTAGAAGCTCCCCTGCCCTGAAGTCAAATGAGAGCAGCTTAGGATGCATAGTTGGGATTCCAGTTTGCGTCTCCTTAACCATTCAAAGCCATGCCTGTCTAATACCCCACAATATAAGACCTCTTCAAGGCCAAAGTCAGCACAGATAACCAGGCAGCTGCCTACAGCTGAGAATGTTAATGATGGGGATCTGCCGAGGGAGGAGACACTGGTGCCACAACCAGACACTTAACACGCTTCTAAACCTATGCTTCTCCTATCAGATCTCATTACTACTGCTGTTAATGATAATAATTATGTCATATCATATTTGCATAATGCTTTCCAGGTTACAAAGCATGTTTGTATGCATTATTCTGTTTAATCCTTGCTATATGTTTGAGAGCTCGGTTTTATTAACCCTACTTTGCACAGGATGAAAAAAAACTGAGGCTCAGAAAGGTTCAAGTGACTTGTCCAAGGTAGAGAGGCTAGTAAGTAGTAGAGCCAGACTTGACATTGTGTTCCCACCTTCACACAGTACACTCTTCAGTTCAGCTGTGCCCCAGGTGCCCTGCCCCAAGCCCGGGCAACCAATCACCCTCTATTCATGGTAAACTGACTTCCCTACTGGGCATTGCTCCTTCCACTCCTCTTACTGTAATTCCCCCTCCCTGGCCAATCCACCAATCCCACCTTTTTGGCTAGTTTTTCTCTGAACCCTTCTGGCACATTTCAGCATTAACTTCTCTTCTCGCAACAGCTCGAGCATTTACAGACTGTTTCACTGATTTCACCTTGTGTTTACAAAGACTGGAGGCCACTTTTTTCATGCATTTCAGCAGGTTAACACCCACTGCCTTATACTATAACTTAACTGTTTCATGTGTATCTTTCTTATCGGCCCAGTTAGATAAAAAGGTCTTGGTATTATACACATAAGGCTTAATACGGCTTCTTCTCACAGCCCCTAAATAGTGACATATATATGGCACTACTCAAAAAAATTCTGTTCCCATGAATGACCGAATGACAAACACATGGGTAAAGAATGATATGAGGCTATCTATTGGAAGTAAGAACAGAGGGAGAATCACCTAGCCTCTAGTGATCCCTCAGACTCATGAAATCTCTTCACAGTTGCCTCCCACCCTCCTGAGCCAACAGCTCTTTTCAAGGTGAGTTGAACTAGTAATAGCAGGGTGCCTGTGGAACCCCCATCCACTGAGTCACCAGTGAGAACCCCCAGATGCTCCCATGCCCCAGTCATTCCCAAGCCCTAGCTGTCTCCCACCCAGATATAAAGGCAACCAGCTTTCAGAGACTTATTATTCAGCCTTCTTCCTTCACAGTTTCACAAATAAGACCCCCTTGCTGCCTGAAAAGTGCTTGGCAGAAATACTGTCACTTGTGTGAATTTACATGAAGCGGCAGGGGAATCGTGTCATAATGGTTAGAATTTAGTGAGGAAAACGTGCGTGGAGGTGTAAAGAGCTGGGCTGGCTGGGTGTTACCTGGGTCTGTGCTATTCACTCATCCTGTGGCTAAAACTTAAGCGCAGTGAGGCCAAAGGTTTCCCAGACTCCTCTCCCAGGGGCCCGAGCTCCCGCTCTCCCCTCCCAGCAATAAGATGATAATCACTGTGCATGATTTAAAGGGCCACTGGAAGACCGGGGAGTTAATGCTGGTGGCGTGCTAAGCACGAGCAGCTGAGGGATCATAATTCAGGGCTGACATCTGAGCTAATCCACTGGTTTGCAGAATCTCAAGACAAGCAGGCCTCTGAATTTCACTTAGTTAAATCATTTGTGTCCCACTTGTCTGTTAAGTGCTATGAGCTGGAGGGAAGAAAGATGATATGTAAATTTAAGGAATTAGCAGTAGACATCAGTCGGAGGGACACTGAGCTGCAAAATGTCCCCGCCTGTCACTGAGAGAGGCCTGATTAGAACCAGGACATCATGAAGGAATGGCCGAGACCAGGAAAATCCCAGGGAGGGGGAGAGGAGAAGCAGGGGGAAGGGAACCGATGTTAACTAAGCACCTACTATGTGCCAGATATTATACTGGAGGCTTTGTCTGCCTACTTTATGTAATCTTCCCTATGAAATAAGTATCATTTTGCCCATTTTCACCAAAAAAAGAAAGTGAGGCTCAGAGAACTGAAGTGATGTGTCTGACACCCTAGCTACAGAGTGATGGAAGTAGGGTATGAGCCCTGACTGGACCGAAGATGGCCTCTCACCCTGGCTGGAATCTTGGCCCCGACTTCACTAATCTTTTAAAGCCTCAGTCTTCCCGTCTGTAAAATGAGTGTAATAACATTACTGCACAGGGTGTGAGGAGGAGGAAATGCACAGTAACAGGGACACAGCAAGAGCTCGATAAAACTATTGTCTTTTATCTCTACTACTATGGCTATACACACTGCCTCCTGTGCCTGCCTTCTTGCTTTTTAAGAAAGAAAAAGGGTTGAAAGAGCACCAAAAACTTGGGAAGACTAATCCAAGACTCAAAGGGAAGTATGGCCTGAGGACAGTAAAGATGTTTTCAGGAATAAGACGGTTCCCAAATCCATCATCCTAATCCCAGAAACCAGGCAGCCACAGTTGTACATGGTGCACTCTCACATATCTGTGTGTGAATCTGTGCTAGATGAAATAAAATAATACATGATCCTGGATGGAGACACAGCCCTGCCGTCCAGAGGAATGATGCTGAAACATCCAGAACAGCTGTACACCCTTTGCTCTAAGTTTCCCAGGGAAGAAGTTTCCATAGGCCACATTGGCAATGTGTTTTCTGGGTCACAACCCTAACGGTCGGGAACTTATTAAATTCAGTTTTAAGTTTTCCTGCTGTCATTTAGACACATGTCCTCCCCTTCTATCTCTGGTGGAGCACAGCCAGTATCTGTCCTCTGACTTACAGACATTGCCACTTGTGAAGAATGAAGACCCTTAGTCTTTGCTTCCCCAGGAAACACAACCTTTGCTCATTTCACTGGCCATTCTCCAGGTCTTTAGTTAGAGTGGTGGGTCTCTACTGACCCCCCACCCCCACCCCAGCTAAGGGCCTCTGTTCTTTTAAGTTAGGGCACCACTGATGTGCTGTAGTGAAACACACTTGTAAAAGTGAAGTCTGTTCTTCTGGAACATCCCAGTTTATGGCCCATTACTGCCAAACACAGAGGGATTGCTAAGCACACACTGGCTGCTGAATGCTTGATAGAGCAAAGGGTTGGCATGGCATGGGTAGGCCACTTTAATGAGTCACTTGGACTTTAAGGAAGAGTCCTTTGAATTGTTCAAAGGTTGCTAGAACATGACAATTGACTAGCTACGAATCAGCCCTGCCTGCTGGAGGCTGTCATCTTGTTCTTGTACCTGGTGGCAGTGATGCCGGCAGCGGAGAGCTTCCAGCAAAAAGGCAATGGGAAGGAAACGTGTTCAGTTGTTGACAGAGAATGAAGAAATCATGTCCCAGAGATACAATCCCTCTCCTCCCAGACCTGACATACTTGGGAGGCATTTTGCGAGGGTCCTGACTCAAAACATCTGTTGTTACCCACGATACAGGGAAAGCAATCGCATGGGAATGAACAACAGGAGTTCGAAAGGGTGGGGAGGAA